CCCGTTTTCTCTTTGAGACTTTTATAATGGGGAAGAACAAGGAGAAAGAACAAGCTCCTTGAATTTGTGTGCTGAGGGGAAAATTTGTAGTTATGGAGAGCTCTGAGTTTCTTGGACATTGGTTTTGTTTATTCTGTGTAGATGATATTATATATTTTAAATTAATTTATTTTAGAACACTTAACCTCTTCTCTTGTCATGCTTCTGTTTTATAAATTACTCTGTTCTCTTTTTAATTTTTTTCATTCCTCTTATTGTAAAGCCACCCTGGGCCTTTCTTGGGAAGAATGGCATATACATCGAATAAATAAATATAAATCATATACAAAGAGAGTATTGCTTCCTATTAGAGTACAGAGGCAAATTCATTATATAAGGGCAACGGTGGACTGTTATGTTTAAAGAATGGTGTATTACTTAACTGGCTGATATAGCTCAAAATTGTCTTAAGTTGCTGTTCTCTCAACTTTAAAAAGTTCTTCTACAGCAAAATCTATTCTCTCCTCTCTTTCTGGGCCCCCTTTTCTGTGTGGCGGAAGTGGTGGGCCTGATCTGGGCCGGTGCTGGGATGGCAGGCCCAATCTGGTGTGTGCGCTCGTGCTGATCTCATGTTGGATCGGGTCCACAGGCCAATCCTGTGTACTGGATCTGACCTGTGACTGATGCCACACCATTCATCTGGCTCCTGGTCAGGAAAGGTTGGGCATCAGTGTACTAAACAATAGTACAACAGGAAATACTAAAAGACATTCCTGTAGTCTTGGAAATGCTTTTCAGCTGTTTTCCTGTGTTTGAATCTATTTTTTGTACTTCAGCAGAACAGAAACACAGTGGTGTTACTGTAGTTTAAATAGGTGGGTGAATATTTGCAGTGCATACTTAAAAAAAGAAATAATTGTAAAACTGTTTCATGAAGCTTTCCCAGTCTTAAAAAAAAAAAAGCAATATTTCCACATTACTTGCGTGCTGGAGTGAGATTCAGGGGAAAGAAGCAGTGTGGTTAACCTTGTAACTTTGGACTCTGGTCGTCTCACTAATTGGCAGAGAGAAGGAATCTTGCCTACTTTTGGAGAATGCCAGTGAGCTTAGCATGTGCAGCGTTAGGGTCTTACGGCAACATTTCACGGACTTATCCTAAAAGCAGTATTTAGTCTTTGCCTGGACATTTCTGTGTAGAGGTTTGTCCCACACCAATAAGAAAACTCAGCTTGCTTCAACATATTTTGTGTGAGCATTTGCTCATGAAAGCTTATGTCTCTAATTCATTTAGTCTGTACCCAATCTTATCACAGAGGGCAAGTTAGAGATGCACCACATAGTTTAACTGAATAGGAGAGGCATAAGCTTTCATGAGCTTGCTTCATGAAATAAAGCAAGTTTACTCCAGTTTGTGAGCATATGTCATAAAAGCTTATGCAGCTCTGGTTCAGCCTACATGGTGCATCTTTACCTTGCCTTCTGGCTGTGCTAAGGTTAGCAGTCTTTAATGTGCCTCCCTGAAAGTTATGCAAACACTTCTAAGGCCGTAAGGGTTAAAAGTACCAATTCATATGCTTGTCATGCTATATGCTGTTAAAGCCTTCTGAAGCAACTTGTGATTGAGCTTCAAAATTTCATAGAGCCTGAGGTAAGAAAATGTAGGAAATTAAAGCAATTATTTTTGGCTGTGTGATATTCCTTCATACCTCACTAATTGTATTTGGCTGCCTCAGTGACCTCTGCTAGCTAGGGTGTCTTTGAGGAATATCTTTGCTACATCTGGTGAGTTGATAAGGAACAAAAAAGATGTATATTTTTGACCTTGTTCAGACTCCGCAGTTGGGAGAATGTGAAATTTGGAGACTAAGATAGAAGGATCAAGAAGTGTACCAAGACATCCTTCAACTTTTAAAGCAGACCCTGATTCTCTGCATGTTCTGATCAAAGCAGCCACTACACAGTGTGGAGAATGATTGTTTGTAGCGGCCGGTCAAGCTGGCCACTGGCTGATGGCAGTCCAGGATTGCAAGCTTCCAAAGAATGGTTGCTGCTACCTATTTCTTATCATCTGACTAGTTGTCATCTTGCTGTTTGGGTGTAGCAGAACTGGGATGAACTTGACGCACATGGTCAGAAATGTGGCTTTCCGTGTGAAAACGTTTTGGAGCTACTGCTACCTATTCCAGGCTTCCTTGACAAGTGCTTGAATGAGATTTAAACCACTGCTACTGTGTGCAGTTACTCAGTGAATTCCTACAGCGACTAGGTGGCTGCATTTACTATTTCTCTTCTACTTATTCTTAGTTCCTTTATTTTATGTTTGGCTCCTTAAGGGACACTACAGCTCTGCTAGTCAGTCATCCATGGTTTTAATGATGAGATGGAAAAAATGATGTAAAAAAATAAGTATATTATAGGATGTAACAGGGTTTTGTAGGAATTTGACCTCAAACCCACACAGTTCCATGAGAGGAGTGTTGGCATACCAGAAGGCATGGCAGCAGCACTGCAAAAAACTGCTACAAAATAACATGCTTGGCTGCAGGGATCCTGAGATAACTACTCCTCGGTATCGCATGTTTCTTGGCAGTGCCATCTGCCTGAAAATATGTTGCTCTGGGAGACAGCCAAATACAAAAGTATTCTACTGTTTGTTATGCTGATACCACTGTGTCAGAAGAATCCCTTCAAGTAAAACTTTCTTGAGGGAGGCAAGGTCCCAGTGGATAACTTTCTTCAAGAGTCTATTTTTCTTAAGTTGTCTGGGGAAATATAGGTCAGGTTATTACTAGTTACAAAACATCATTATTCAGATCCTTCAATACTTTTGTTGAGCACCTTTATCAAAGAGAAAGTACTGAGGACCTGACTGATGCATTTCAAATGTAATAAACAGAAAATTGTATTACATTTATTAGATTTTTGAAGAAAGTAGTTTTCTTCATAAATCATATAAATGGCATGTGATTATATTTCTTTCCCCACCACTGCAGTAGAGAAAAACTTGATAAGATTTTTTTTTTTATCTCAGTGGAATTGTTGCAAAAATTGCAACATTTGGATTGCACCTTCTCTTTCCAAAATACTTCATATTTTGCTTGTAGTTATTTGTTTTTTAGTTATTGAAATGTAGCATACAAATCTTTGTGTTTAGTTATAGGAACATAGCATAATATATAGTACAAAGTATCATACTTTTTTGTTTTGTAACATATGAGATTAACTAGTAACCTAAATGCTTATTTGTCTATATTGCTGTTAATATTTACAAAATGTTTAAATCTGGAAAGTTGTCTTCTCCTACCACACTCATTTAATAAACATTTGTGCATGCACATACACATGAACTTCTAAACTTGTTAACAACCAAAACAAGGGGTCACCGTGATACTTCTGAAAACTGAGGCTGAGCAATGACATTTCCTGTTTCCACTTTAACTGCTGATGACATCAGAGTACCATAAATAAAGAAGTATTTCAAAATTCAAGGAAGGGGTAGTGAAAAAGAACAAAAGAAGGAACTGGGTAAATGGAGTAGCAGCCAAGCTTGTGAGCAGTAAAAAGAAGCAAGAAAGAGAGCTATTAAGTTTCTAGTTATTGCTGACAAGGGCATCATTTCATACTCACTTCATTGATGACCCTGGGGGTGTTTCAGTATGGCAACCTGGCTTGGTCAGTGCAGTGATACAGATGAAACTAAGATTGGTTTAAATCAAAATGAAATGCATGCTTTAAGAACAAATGAGTCTTTGAGGCATAATTTATTCAAGAAAGACCAATCTGCCATATGAGTTATGTTGCTAATTATATTGGTTCCCATGTTTGTTTTTTAATTGGTCAATATTTGTAAGAGTCTCTCAGTATTGGTATCAAATGCATCTTTTGCATACATTACAACTTTTAGGGAGGCATGACACAAATTGAGACCTGTGCCCTCTGAGTGCCACTTTGATTCCCTTCCCAGTGTTCTGTCTGTGCTCTGTGTTCCTTGCCTGATCTTCTGCTCTGCCTTCTGCTTCCTGTCCTATCTGCTGCTGTGCTTCTTGTCCCTTTCCCAGTCTGCTGTGTGCCATACATAGAGCTATCCTTGGAACTTACAGAATGCATGCCACAGACTGGTCACCCCTGCATAACTTAAATCCCAGGAACAAGCTCTACCCAATTTTCCCTTCAAATGTAGAACACTAAAAGAGTACCTTAAGTATACAATATTTCACATAACAGATCATGAATAGTGATTAATAGCTTCCATTTTTTTACAGTGCAATGTATGTATTTAGCACCTCATATACTACAAATGTGGATTTGACCAAATCTGTAAAAAATTGATACAAACTAAAAGGGGTGGCAGCCTTTGTAATGAGAGAGATTTAAAGTTCTTAGACCAAAACATGTGCCTTTTTATGAGAATAAACTTTAGACACTTTTTAATTTTTAAATATTATTGTATTAAATAATGGACTCACAAAATAATAGTCTTGTTGATTAGTATGTGATGAAAATTGAGGAGGAAGAGTAGAGCAAAAATCACTTGAGATCATAAAGGGACAGCTACAGCTTGAAATGTTTTGCAGCATTCCAATATAGAAAGAGTAAGTCCAGGTTGTCTGGGAGGCTTAATGCTAAATCTAATATCCGCTCTCAGACTGTGGGAGGCTTAGAATTCCAGTTATGCTTCCCCATCCCTTGTTTTCTGAGTTTAATAAATATTTGTGTAATGAATGTGGCCACAAAATTAGAGCTTGGCCTACCAGGTATTGCTTTTATTCCCAGCCCATGAACTGCCCTGGGGCCTTGAGCAACTTCATCTTTTTGTTCTACTTTCTTCACTTGTAAGTGGACAAACCCTACTTTTACAGGGGTGTGAGGCCTAATTCATTAAAGGACATAGTCCATAGCTCACTTAAATTAGTGGAAAGACATTCATATATTTCACTTCATACAAGTCCACCAAGTACTTCACAGGTTGGAGGTGCTTTATCAAAACAAGCATCTTAGTGACTGTTTGTTTATTTACATAGATCAAAGATTTCCATCTCCTTTGGCAAGCCATGGTTTGGAAGGTACTACAACTAAACCTCCCAGTGATGGTACTCACCACCCAGAATATGTTGCTTTTGCAATAGTTCCTGTTTTTTTCATCATGGGCCTCTTGGGGGTTCTCATCTGCCACGTGCTTAAGAAGAAAGGGTACCGTTGTACAACAGAGGCTGAACAGGAGATTGAAGAAGAAAAACTTGGAGAAAATATAGGTAAATAATCTGTTTACTAAAACTCTTTTCTCTCATTATTATAGTGTGCTTACTAATCTGGAATGACTGATAGCTGATTTTCCTTTTTTCTATACTACACAATACATATTGAAATGTTTGTAATAATGATGACTTAATAGACCATGAGATAATTACTTCTGACTATTACCTTTCTGAACTTGAGAGCTTTTCATTTATCTGTAAATCAAGCGAGATACTTAGCAACAATAGAAGGGAAAGTAGGCAACTGTGGAAGTATACAGAGGATTAACACACATGGGTAAGGATAAGCAAAGGCAAAAAATTACAACTGAGAAGAGATAATGAAGATGAATGTTAGATGCATAAGAAAGATAAAGGGATCTGTAGGTTTGCTATGCAGTGGAAAAAATGAACTATTACTAACTATTCAAAGGGGGTGGATGTCAGGGGCCTGAAGTAGTCCATCCAGCCTGGCCTACTTGTCTAACTGGCCAGAAGCTAACTCGTAGCCCAACCCTGGCTGATGAACCAGCTGGCCACTGTTAGGACCCCCTGACTGGCTATTGGGGACAGCAGCCTCCTCATTTAATTTTACCTATGGTAGAGACTGCAGGCTAGCCAACAGTTTTGCCTGAAAGTTTGTTGTGATGAGCCTTCCTGGATCCTGTGCTCTGTTTGCTGACTTCTGACCTTGCTTGGCTCTGACTCTTTGCAAGTTCCTTTTTATTTTGGTAACTTGGTCTCTGACTCCAGAACTCTGATTTGGTTTTGGACTTGGATTCTGCCCCTGGACTGCCACCTTGGGATTTTTAATTTTGTTTGACTGTAGAACCCTGATTCAGACTGAAACTTGGCCCCCAATATACCAATATATTTATACCAGACCTTAAAGTCCTTTTCCTTTGCAACTGCCCTTTTAACCCCCTGATAGACTTAAGGCACATTGGTGACATCTTCATCCTATGGACACATGGGAAACAATCTCTAGAGAAATTCCACCAGGAATTTAACAACTTCCACTCTTCTATCAAACTGATTCTAGAGTATATGCTACCCAGGAAATTCATTTCCTAGGCACCATGGTAAAAGCTTGCAGCAGCCATATCGCTGCCATGTAAAATCAGAAACCCTCTGACCGCCACAGCTACCTTCACTCCAGCAGCTTTTCATTCTAAGTTCACTAGATCCATCATTTCTACAGCGGAGTTCTCCACTGCAACCATATCTGCTTTGTTCCCACCATTCGGGATGCAGACCTTAAGAATCTGGATCATGGATTCCTTATAATTA